TTATTATAAAGAATTGTAATTTCAATGTTTAACAGCATTTTTGTATGCTTCCTAAACAAGGCTCAAAAAAGCATGAAAAAAGTTTATTTTTAAAATTTATTTTAGTTTTCTCTTAAGTAAAATTGCAACGTTTAGTTGCCACAAAAAACCAGCACATTAGCTAGTTAACGGAGCTGGCTAAAGGAGGAAATTCAATTGGAAAAATTAACGGTTAATTAACGGCAGGATTAGACCACCATTTATCCTCTTCTGTTTTGAAACTGGCCATTTACAACTTTTTTTTAACGGTCGCTTAAATTCTCGATAGTTTAAAAAACACCAGCTTTGTGACGCAATCATATTACCAAACAAAAGGAAAGTCATTACTTTCAGGCGCTTAATACAAGGCGAGGTGGAAATTACTTTTGATAAACAGAAATGAGCAATCAGACCAGTTGCAGCCCCGGTTAGGTAATCCAACGTAATTAAAAGTGAAAAGCTGAGTTTTTTTTTTTTTTTTAACTAAGACTATGTAGGGTTTGTGAAGCTCAAATTAATATATTAATCAAATTAATACATAATCACCTCAAGTACAAATTGCTACTTGAGCAAATAATCGCTACTGTATTTATTTTGATTTTAACAGCTGTTTGCATGAAATTACAAATAGATGCAACTAAAATTTCAGACACATACATATATAACTAAAGAGCCACCCTTACCAATTATTTTGATATTACCTAATGTAATAGGGGGTTAAATGCGTTTTTTATTTAGTTATTTTTTAATGGGTACTAGCAACAGAACATCTTAATAAAATGATCTAAGCCTGTGTTAAATGTCTCTACATCCGCTAAGGGTTTAAAATAGATTGAATTTTTAGAGACTTATGGGTTGGGTCTGTGGTAGGGTGGTATTAGAACTCCGGCTGGAATTTGTGACTAGGTTATTCAGGTTCCGGCCGGAACTACAATATTTCAGGCCGGAATTTATTTTTTACTTTTTTTTAACAGACTGTGTAAAAAAAATCATTGTCCTACAGGGCAATGAAGAACTATAGGTAAAAAAATGCAAAACTATTAACAAACACAATGCAATTTTATTTGCAGTAATCAATTATGTAAGGGTTTCTTGAAGTTTAGGAATATTGTGGTGCAAAACGAGTTGCTATCCAGTTTTGGGCAACAAACTTGCTTTTTATTCATCAAAAATGTTACCTGCCTCTGAAAATAGTCTTATTTTAAATGTTAGTTAAATTTTAAATAATTAAAAAGTATAGGATGCTTAATACAGTAATATATATATTACTGTATTAGGTATCCATATGTATGTGTATATATATATATATATATATATATATATATATATATATATATATATATATATATATATATATATATATATATATATATATATATATATATATGTATGTATATATATATATATATATATATATATATATATATATATATATATATATATATATATATATATATATATATGTATATATATATATACAAATATATGTATATAATATATATATATATATATATATATATATGTATATATATATATACAAATATATGTATATATATATATATATATATATATATATATATATGTATATATATATATATACAAATATATGTATATATATATATATATATATATATATATATATATATATATATATGTATATATATGTACATATATATATATATATATATATATATATATATATATATATATATATATATATATATATATATATATATATATATATATATATATATATATATATATATATATATATGTAGTGATGCTATTTTGTGCATATACTATCAAGAAAGTCAGAGCTATAATATATATATATATATAGTAGAAAATAAGACTACGTGATTTTCATAACTTTTAGTTTCATGCTGTTGCAATCATCAGGTGAAATACAAATATAGTTTGTTTGTTTAAAAAAAATATATACAATTGAAACTATACATAAAAAATGATGTTATAGTTTGCTGACTTTCATATTAATGAACTGTATGTTGCAGTTAAACAATTTTGTATATTTTTATGACCTTGTCTAAAAACTGGTTTCATTGGATATTTGATAGCAATTAAATCTGTTTAAGATATATTTCTCGACTGAGTAGAAAAAGATGTTCACCATAAAAATATTTAACATATAACATATATTTAACCTTATATATATATAACCTTATATATATATAAGGTTCACCATAAAAATATTTAACATATAAGCTCAGTCAAAACCATTTAACAAACTCTTTATTGGAGCTGTGAGATTTGCAAAAATGTTTAACATCAATATCAATTGCCAACAACTGACGGCCACATATAAACAACTCTTGATGCGAAGTAACTTTCAATGTTCAAATGGAAAAATCAGCATCAAAGCTAAAACTCATATATAAAATTTTCAGACAATTCTTTTGCTCATAAAACAACAATGACCAAGAATATCTGCATAATCGTGGTAATAATGACCACGATTATGCAGATATTCCAAATTGCAGCATTCTATTTTAATTCAAAAAATCTCATATATTGCTGGATACATAGCTAAAATGACATAAAAAAAATTACCTGCATTTAATGTCAGCATGCACTAGTACTTCTTTTTCATTTTAAACAAAATAGCCTTTTAAAATTCTAAGACAGAGGAGGCTTGATTAAACCAACCTAAAGTGTTATTATCATATCCAAAGAAATCGAAAGGTGTTTTCAAAGATTGCTTGGTTCAATATGGCTACCTTCCAAATGAAATAGGAATTTAAAATGCAATTTAAAATGATATTTTAAGTTCATTGGATTTCTCTATAACATGCACTGAACTATCTCCTTCTATGTTTGACTCAGCTATAAGTGATAACGATTAATTTTTATTGGTTCAACTTATTTCAGAAAACTATGCAAAAATTCACCTTTATAACCTTGGATAAAAACAAACTGCAAAATTAACTGGAAAAAAGCTTCAGAAGCAATTGACAAAACTTCTTTGATTTAAAAATCAATAATACCTTTTTATTAATGACTTATAAAAACAAACACACACACACACACACACACACACACACACACACACACACACACACACACACACACACACAATATATATATATATATATATATATATATATATATATATATATATATATATATATATATACATGTTTAGTGATTTTAGTAAAGTACAAACAAATAAAAAATAAGGTACAAATAATTATATATAAAAAAATTCTAGAAGGAACCCCTGTGTTGTGTATACTCACAGAGTTCAGCTAATAGTTCGTGCAGCATTTGTAATTTGTGATATCTATTTGAAAAACTAATTTCATAATAGTTTATTTTAAAAAGATATTCAGCTGCCTACTATGCAGTTTTGTTATTAACCTTCTAGCACACAGCATTGGGTAGTTAAGAACTAAAAGGTACATAAATTTTATATAAAGCAATATCAAACAATTAATTTATGGTAAAAGTAAAATTTAAAGACAGTAAATAAATGAAATATAAATACAAAATGATTTCAGTTTTTCACATTTCAACTTATTATTTTTAAGTTGTTTAGAAATTATTAAATTTGATAACTACTAGATTCTTATTTGCTTTTTTACTTTCACTAATAGGTTATAACATGTTATAACTTATTACTAATAGGTAATAAATAAATAGTAATAAGCCATTACTAATAGGTTATAAATATTTATATAGACTATATTATAGTGGAACCTAGTAGTTTAACTGCTTGGTACTAGTTTCTTGAGTGTTCTTTACCAATGTTAAATAAACTAATCTGTAATTAATTTAAAAGAAAATTTTTATCTCATTTAAAATTATTTTTACTAAAAAAAAAAAAAAGATGCTATACAAACTTAATGTTAAGTGTAAATTTATGTTATGCTATGTAAAACCAAAAATTCTATTTGTATTTGAGTCTTGTACATTTATTTTTATATAAAAAAGATTTAAAGTTCGTTACAAAAACATCTAAATTTGTAATAATTTGTAACAAATACGCCGCCATCTTGGGAGGCCAAAACTGGCTTCAAAAAAATTGCCGTATACTCTATCCAGTTATATTTTGAGATCAGGTGTTAAAAATTATACGGGATAGGAAAGAAAAAAATAATTACGTGAGCATGCGTAGTTTTACTTTAAACAAATTAAAACTTGTTTTGTCCGCTAATGTCCGCGTGACTATTTATCCCTTCTCTTTCTCGTTTCCGTGAAAAAACGGATGAGTGGAAACTCACCTTTAGGCCGCACTTAGACAGCAACAATGGCATTTCACATCTTCGCTAAAAAAGTTACTGTTTGAGAAGATTGTGATAAAATAAAAAAATTCTAAATAAAAATTTCAAACGAGGCCAACATTTTACATAAATTTATGGAATCATTCAAAGCAAACAACTAAACGAATAAAAATATCCGGAATTTCGAGGCAAAACATAAACAATCGGAAATTTAACATATTTGAACATATTTATTTAAAAAATTTAGTGATAATATATACAAGTTACAAAAAAAAAAAAAAAAAAAAAAACAGACAGCAGTAAAATAAAAACTTTATAATTTTACAAAACATCTAAAGTAATGGATAAAATGGTCACGAGAAAACAATTAGACGTCGGAAAGCACTGAACGGTAACTCGTTTAAAATTCAAACTAAAACAAATTGTCTTCATTAAAAAACCGTATAACTTGTCAAAACGAAAGAAATTAAAAAATAAATTCGATGAATGAATGAAAGAATAAGGCGCGCAGCGCGCTTTATTTGAAAGCAAAACAAAAATCGTTTGATAAAAACGGAAGATGTTACAATAAATAAACTCAATATATTTTCTAAGAAATACAACCAACTGATTCGATCGTAATCTAAATTTTCGTAACATAAATTTGTAATTTATGAACTATCTAGATAAATGAAAATTGAAAGTGATTTTACTATCCCCATATATAACATTATAAAAGGGGGGTAACAATCATTAAAAAACATGTTCACACATAATATTTTTCCTTGCTTTATTTCCCTGACCAATACAGAACTATTTCGAACCTTTAACAAAGATAAAATCAAAAGAATATAATTTATCTTAGGAAAAAACTTTATTTACTTATAAATCAACAAAGAGATATTGTAACATTTATTCCCAAGTTTCCATTATCTGCAAACAACTGCGCAATGCTGGTATCAAATACTAAGCAATCGCTATTTGATATTGCAGCAGAGATACCATCATGTATACTACGAGGTGTAGCTTCCCAAGCTAGTCTGCGACGTTGTCCATTTAACTCTAATCGATAAGCGAAATTTTCTGCTTGTTTTCTAGAACCAATTAATTGGACAACAGCAAAAAATTGTTGATGTCCCTCAAACTTTTCCTGTTTTTCAAGCACGAGCATGAAATGTTGTCCAAAACACGATTGCATCATTACCCAATCAACAGCGCCTGGTAAATTTATGTCTGTAGCTAAAAATACTATATCTTCACCTTGTAGAGTAGTAATAGACTTATGAGATACCATTAGGTGAGGCATTACTCCATCTAATGTTCCTGACCATTTACAGGATGCACCTGGACAAGGGCAAACATATGGTCGACACTCACAAGAATCCTCATGTTCAATTTTTGCTGTGTGGGGTAAAGTGACATTACACCCAGAAGATGAGTAACGACATGGAAAAAGTACTGTATTAGCTACTTTTTCCATAGCTAAATTTCTAATGCTTCCAAGAGGTCCACGACAACTCGGGCATATTGTTAATTTAGGGCGACAATTTGAACATAAAAGATGACCACTACTACATTGAAATATTGGAGGCAGAACATAGTCAAAGCAAACAGGACATTCAAACAAACTTGCTAGATCTGGATTAGAAGAAATATTCATTGTTGCAGAAACTATGTTCATAGGAACATCTCCCTTTATTGCGTTTGGGCTTGCAGTGCCTACTGGTCGCATCAAATTTGACATTTTCGACATTTATTCAAGGCTAATATGATTTAAAGACATTTTCAGATACCTGAAATAAGCAGAAAAATATTTAAATAATATAACTTTAAATAAATTAGCCAAATGTACATTAAAAAATCTGTGTCAAGGGTGAGAGAGATTTGTTAATTTTATGGAGTTTCTATGTAGTTTGCATAAGTGAGAAAGGTTAATTTAATGACCCTTATCTAAAAAATAACTCTTATAAAGTAAATTTCATACTTTTTATATCAAGCACACACACAAAACAGATTTTCTTAAGCTGGCTGGTAGATCTGAAGCGTTTTCACAAAGTAATGTGAAAACTTCATTTCGAATATCTCACTCAATCATTTTTTCTTATGGCACCAATTGGTGTATATGTTAAAAAGCTTTGATATTTTTCATTTTTTGTATTTTCAATTAATTATTTATATATATATATATATATATATATATATATATATATATATATATATATATATATATATATATATATATATATATATATATATATATATATATATATATATATATATATATATATATATATACATATATATACACACAGTGGGTGGTCAAATAAGTACACCTAACATTTTTAGTAATTTTAAAATTTAAATGAATTTTGCAAGCAAATAAATTGTTTTTAAATAATTTTTTGTGTGCATTACAATACTGTCAGTCCACCTAATTTTTCAAAAAGTTAGGGTATTATTCAATTATCTGTCAATTGTTGAAAAGTGTGGTTGTAGTAAGTTTAAAACTGATTTTATTTATTTTTGGAACAATTTTTTGCAAGTTCTTTTAGTTCTGGACTATTAAAACCTAAGTATTGGTCAATAATTAAATTATTTATGGTTAGTAATTCGTTATTTTTGCTAATTTTATTCCACAAATCCTGACTTGTATCTGGACAAGTCTTTAGACTTAACCCTAAGAAAATGTAAGGAAGAAAAAAAATTACTTCTTTATTCTACACATTCTCAGAAAGAGATAGCAGCAATTGCAAGTGTTTCAAAGTCAGCAGTGAACCAAATTAAAAGAAAAATTTATACAAATGTGCCTCAAGAACCAGAACGTATTGGCAAAAGTGGCCGAAAAAGGATCACTACTCCACGTTGAGACCATAAAATTAGGGACAATTGTCTTTAAACCAGGAAGAAAAAAAGAAGTTTCGACTAGCTACAAAAATAAACAATAAAGGAATTATTGTCTCCAAATAGGTGGTCCAGAGAAGGTTGGCTGAAAATAATTTGTCGTCCAACCAAAAAACCACGTTTAAATAAAGTCATGAAAAAAAGGGACTGGAATGGACTAGAAAACACTAAATTATGACAAATGAGCTTTTTTCCATTTTTTGATGGAAAAAAGCTCATTTGTTTGACGCCACCCATCAGAAAAATTCAACCAGGACTGAGAAAAACTCCACCTTTTGGATAAGATTAAACATCTTGTGAGGGTTAAGGTGTGGTTTGTGACCTCAGCCATGGATATGGGCTGCCTCTACTTTGTGGAAGGGACCATGAGGCAGAACCAGTACAAGCAAGTACTGGAAAACAGGCTCTTGCCCCAGGTTAAATAATGGTTCCCTTGTAATGAAGATTATATGTTCATGCATGACTCCGCAGCGTGCCATAAGACTAGTGTTACAGCATTACTAACTGAAAAATTTGTGTACATTTTGCCTTGGCTGGGTAATTCAAATGATATGAACCCCATAAAAAATCTATGGGAGTTCACAAAACGGGAAACTGTCAATAAAACCATCACTCCAAGCAGCAGTTAATAGAAACTCTTATAAGAGAGCGATATAACAACCCCAGTCTCCAACACAAAGCAAAAAACTGCATAGAAAGCATGCCTTAACACCTGTAAGCCATTATTGTAGCAAAGGGTTGGCATTACAAAATATTAGGATTAATACCTTATTTTATTAATAAGATTATTACCTTATATATAATCTTATATAAGATTATATATAAGATTATTACCTAATATTATATTAATATTAGGATTATTACCTTATTTGTTATGTTTTAACTTTTTTTTTTTAATAAATAGCTATGAGTAAGTAATTATGTTGTTTTATATTCTATATAGAGCCTTCTAACAATAAAAGCAATAAAAAAATAACTACAAAATACGTATTTGTTCATTAAAGAAGTTTAAACTTTAAAATTACTAAAAAAGTTAAGTGTACCTAATAATTTGGCCACCCACTGTATATACATAGTTTTTCAAAGCTTGCTGATCAAATGTAATTTTTTCACAAAAACAGGTTATTCTTCCTTGAATTTTGCGAAATTTCCCTAAAAATAGCCGATCATTGATCGGCCGTTATTTTGAGCGCTGTATATATATATATACAACCCTCGGAATTAGGAATTCAAAAAACATCATGGAATCTCAAAAAACAGCTTTCAGGAATGTACAGAAATCAAAATTTACATTCATTTAGATTAAATTTAACATTTGGATAAAATATATTAACAAAACAGATAAAATACATTAACAAAACAGATTAAAAAAAGAAAAGACTATAAAATTAAACTTAAAGAATAAACATGACTTGCCGATAACTATTCTAAAAATGCAAATATATCTTACATAAACGCATAAAAGAAAACTAAACAATAAATAGAAAGTTTTATAAAACAATAAAATTAAAATAAAAAAATGCAATTGATTTATTTTAAATTCAATACTAGTGATAACTATCAGAGTCAGGAGATTTCTGAGAATAGACTTCTTTTGAGAGAAGCTGTTGATACATATTTTTTTGATTTTGATTTATTTTCTCTCCTTATTTTTCTTTATTCCTTCTCTTCATTGTGTTTCTTATTAATTTTTTGATCATCTTGTTGAGGTTAAAAAAAAAAATCGATTCCATTGACAACATGAGATGTCTTAACAAGCTTCTTTAGATCTTTTCTGCTTATTATGACATTTTGTTGAAATTTTTTAGGTAGTTTTTATATTTTATTATATAACGCCTTTATGTTTGTTTTTTTTAACAATCAGTTTTAATTTTATGAGTTAATGTGTGTGTATACACATACATACATGCATACATTCATACATACATACATATACACATTATGTATGTATGTACGTATGTACGTACGTATGTATGCATGTATATATTTATGTATGTAACTACAAACATACATTTATATACACACACACATATATAATACACACACACACATATATATAATATATATATTATATATATGTATATAATATATTTATTATATATATGTATTTTATATATTATATACATGTATATAATATATATATATATATATATATATATATATATATACATATATTATATATATATGCATATAATATATTTATTATATATATGTATTTTATATATTATATACATGTATATATTTATTATATATATATGTATTTTATATATTACATACATTTATATAATATATATACATATATATATATATATATATATATATATATATATATATATATGTATTTTATATATATATATATATATATATATATATATATATATATATATATATATATATATATATATATATATATATATATATATATATATATATATATATATAAACACACACACACACACACACACACACACACACACACACATACATGTGTGTTTAAACTTGAATTGATAATGATAATTTGCTATGCAATAATTACATAGCAAATTATTTTATCAAGTTTCATTTGAAGATTTTCAAATTGGCCTATTATTATGACCTGAAAAGCCTTATTAAGACGTGATATATTTAATATTACACTATAATAGAGCTGCTCTTTTGAAAAATGTTATATAAGAAACCTATAATTCTAATCGGGAATTTTTTAAAATAATGTCAAAATAGTATAAAAAAAGAAGATTAATTCTATAAATAGTTTACAAAATAAATTAAGAGCAATCAATTACTGACAGCATTTGAATATTGAAAACAACGTATTTATTTGTTTTTAAATGTTATGCTATCAGGGCATCCCATAATCCTCTGTAAACAAATTACATGGTTTTATGCTAGTCAACAGCGCTTGCCCTATATCAAACCTATTGCAAAATTAGCATCCGTTAAAGTTGCATCTCTTTATGGTACTTGCCACTTCTTGTGTTCTAACCCTTGCATAGAATACTGTTGCCATATCTGGAGTGGATCTTCAAATGATGCCCTTTTCTTTTTTAGACAATGTGCAAAAATGCACTGTAAATATAGTTAGACTTGCACTTGCAGCCAACCTTCAAAGATTGTCATATTTTTGTAATGTAATTCTCTTTTCTATAAATACTATATTGGATACTGCTTTAAAGAGCTAGCATCTCTTGTGCCATCTACTAAAATTCATTCTCGTGTTATTCATCATTCAATTAAGTCTCATCCTTTTACTGTGACTGTTCTTAAGTGCTCTGAAGATTATTTTTCGTCTAGTTTTTTTACCTTGAACATCATTTCTTTGGAATTCAGCCTCTTCATCTTATAAGTCATCTGTTAACCATTATCTTGCTTTATAAACTTTATCTTTTCTCTTCCAGTAACTTCTAACAAACAACCAATCAGGGCTTTAAAACTGCTCTGGTGTTGGAGCCGGAGCTATCTGAAGCTGGTGTTTTTATATGGAGCTGAGCCAGAGCTGGAATATTTCAAGGTGGAGCTGGCTCCAAGCTAGCTCCTCTCTTTGATAATTTGAAAGATCTAAGCATGAGTATTTTTCAATGAAGGGATTCCTAAGTACTATAAAGTTATTTTTATATGAAAAAAAATTCTTTAAATTAAACTGTAATTATTATAATAGTAATGTCATATAACTTTTTATGATTTCTAAAAAAAAGCATTTTATATTTTGATATTGATATATGTACCACAAAATTAAGTTCAGTCACTTAAGCTTTGAACATTTATCACGCATGAACAGGCTTGGTTGGGAAGCGGGTGCAATCGCACTCGATAACTGACCACGGATATAATATTTAGTTGTGAAAAACCGGCCAGATATTTTAGTCGTTTTGAGAACATTAAAATTTATGTATGT